ATACATGCACAAAGACATATACACATAATTTAAACAAAGAAAGGACGTATCGAGTTTGAGTCCCGTTTTAAACGGGATAGCGCAATCTAGTCAATATATATAAAAAGTTTGAATCTGAATATTTTTTTTATTTTTTAACCCTTCTTTTTTAAAATTTGGAAAACGATTATATTTAAAATAAAGAAGCACTAAATACAACTTAGAGATTTTTATAGAATTGTTACTAAAAGGATATTATGGAGTTTTGTGTATTTTTCTTGGGTTTTTTCAATTATTTTGTAATTGCAAAATTGTGAACTATTGCAAATTTTACTTTACAATGTAAGACAGTTTGTACTTTAAACAATGCGCACAAGCCTTAAGACATGTTACACAATGAAAAATAAGAATTTTATTTATATATAATTCCGTTTCAAACGGGATAGCGTTAGCTAGTCATCAATATATATAAAAAGTTTGAATCTGAATATTTATTTATTTTTTAACCCTTCTTTTTCAAATTTTAAAATGTTTTCTTAAATAAATAACAATCTTTCATAGTTGATTATATTATATAAAGCTTAATTTTTCGTAATATATTTTTCATTTGGTTTTATTCAATTATTCAAATTGTAAAATGTGGCTATTTTTATTTTATAATTAAAAGTATGCACTGTTTAATAATAAACAATACATACATGCACATAGACACATACACAAAATCACACAAAGAAAGCACGCATCGAGTTTGAGTCCCGTTTTAAACGGGATAGCGTAGGCTAGTTTATAAGAAATTTATAAGAAAATGTTAATAATAATGTTCTAATTATTTTGTGCATAAAAAATGATTAATTTTACAAAGTGTCAAGACTCTCATTATATTTGTACACAAAAAAAAGATTAAAATTTAAACTAAATTAAAAATTATTATATCTTTTATATAATAATTTTTAATTTAGCTTTTGTTTATATGTCAAAAATAAAGTGTTTTTTATATTAAACGAATGGTCTAAAAGTAAACAAAGAAAAAAAGCATAAAAAGAAACTTTTTGCTTACCAATGTACAAAAAGGTGGTGGCCGATTATATCTATGCCCCAATTTTGCTATCCTTCAACCCCAAAGGAGAAGCGGAACAACAAGGGATACAGGTCTAGGCACCAATAATGTACCCAATGAGGACGGCTACAGAAAGCATCCCAGCACCACGAACCAGCGGAAGTCCTTTTGGCAGATGTATTGAGGGAGAGAAGCCCATCAATACATCTACAAAGAAGGGTAAAAAAAAGCGAGAAAGAAAAAGATATTGAAGACTTAAGAAATTTTAAAAATAAAATAGAGGGCCAAGTATTGGGGGAGTCTTGGTACCTAAAAATTTAGATAGAGATAAGGAATTTGTGCTAAACAATGATATATATGCTAAGGAAAAGGTTGTTGAAGGAGATATAGTAGATGAGGTGATAATAATAGATTGTAATTTAGATGCAAATAAAGAATTGACTAGCAATATTAAGGAGGTTAAAAAGTGAAATATTAGATACTACAGATTTTAGGGCTTTAATTAAAGATACAAATATCAAAAAGATAACATTCATTGATTAAGTAGAAGTTTATTGTTATGAACAGGAGATAGTCAAAGAGAAAATTGATAAACAATTAAATGCAAAGAATAATGTAGGTTACTTAACCAATAGAATTGTAGAACCATCTAAAATTTTCGTAAGTTCAATTAATACTGTCATGGGTAATTTAAATAAAAATGTTGTAATTGATAATGTAAAGAATAAATTTAAAGGACTTCTTGAGAATTTGAAAGTTGTGAGACAGAAAAAAATAACATTGGTAATATTTCTTATCGAAGCTTTAATTTTACTAAACCGAAATCATTTTGGGAGTAAAAGTTTATACTATAGAAGACTATTATTATAAAATAAAATCATTAGCTGTTCAACTTATACTTTTATGAAATTCTCTCATTCTATATTTTTGACAGATTTTTTAAGTAGCTATAAAACTTTATATTATTATTTTCTTCAAATTGTCCTAATTTTTAATCACTATCTCAAACTCTATTTTTTTGACACAATTGATTAATCAAATAAGAAAATAAACAATATCGTTTTTCTCGTAATATTTAGATTTTTAATCTAAATTGTTAATTACTTAATTAGAACATTTTTTAATTATGCTTATATTTTTTGCCCCTAAATGACAGAAAATTTTTTTTTGAAAGAGGTAATTGATAAAATTGAGAATAAAGACATGATAGATATTTTTAAAAAGTATCTTAGTAATGAAGATGTCTGTTGTTCCACATTACAGTTAATTATAAAAGAGAATGAAAAATTGAAAAAGCATGAGGATATTTTTATTGAAGCACATAAGTTATTTGTAGCTTCACAGAGGATGCTTGACGATTTAGCTTGTAAAGATATTACACCTTATGAAAACAGGGATATGGACGTTGTCATGTGTTTTACTTTCTATGCTGGTGTATGTACAATACTTAAGAAGCATCTACCTGAAGATTTATGTGAAAAAATACTTGATATTTATGAAGAAGCCAATCTTAGAATGAATGTCCCTAGGGACAATGAAGAAGAGAATGAAGTATTTTTTTTTATTTTGCGAGAATATTTTACGAAATTTTATGTACCTTTACGTTTAATAAGTTGTAAAGTAAATATTAATGAATATGATTTTGGGTTTGTGTACTATAAAGAAGTATTGAAGGAGGATAATGTGCCTAATTTCATATTAAAAAAGATGAGTGGTAATAAAATAGAGATTAAATTGGCTCAGGAGGTTTTAGCATTATGTATGAAAAATGAATAAAATTTTTTAAAAAAATGTGTTTTTAACCTTTTACTAAATTTAAATGATTAGCATACAGAATAATTATCAAATAAAGATAAAAATTTTAATTATTATTGTAGTACATAAATTGTAATGATTAGCATACAGAATAACTTATTATATAATTATAAAAATTTACTTATTATTGTATACACTTATTTATTTATTATATTTTTAACCAAAAGCTATTATGTCAGAAATAAAAAATATTAACTTCAATTAACTTAAACCTTTTTATAAATTTTATACAAATAGTTTCCTGAATAATGATAAGCAAATACGCTTTAGATATTAAAATATTATTTCCTATTTTTATATAAGAAAATTCTTTTAAATTATTCTTATTTGCTTTTTTTTTCTTATCCTTATGGCAAAAAAACAAAAAAATAAAAATGGCATTGATCGTCCCATTTCTTTTGCAGACAATGTAAATACAGTTTATGGGATAATACAAAGCCCACTTGGACAGGGACAATTTGTGGTTGAGTGTTCTGATTCTATCAAGCGTATTGCTAAAGTAAGGGGAAAAGACTATAAAAGAGTGTGGATTCAACCAAATGATATTGTTTTGCTTAGCTTAAGAGAAGGGAATAATGAAAGGGCTGATATTGAAATAAAATACATGCAGAAAGAAATTAAAATTTTAAAAGATAATGGCTACATAGAAGATACTTTTACAAATGCTAGTAATGATAATATAAAGATAGATTTTGACAGAATATAAATTAAAAATAGTAATATAATACATTTTAATTAAATGAATTTTATAATGGGATTATTTTTAACATGTAAGAATTTATATATAAATTGTTATTATGTGCTTTATTATACACAGTTATTAATTTTTTGTATGTAATGACTTTATGTTATTATAATACATTTTTATTAAATGACTTTATGTTATTATAATACATTTTTATTAAATGCCTTTGTGCTATTACAATACATTTTTATTAAATGAATTTATGTTATTATAATACATTTTTATTAAATGCCTTTGTGCTATAATACATTTTTATTAAATGCCTTTGTGCTATAATACATTTTTATTAAATGAATTTAAAACATTTTATTACTTTTTTTTACTAATTTTTTATAAATTTTTCTTTTATTTATGCTGCATAATCTAAAAACTTATACCCTCATGACAAAAGAATACAGGTGTAAAAATACAAATACAGAAAATATTGATCAGATCAATATTGTAAGTAAATATATTACAAGTTCATTTGGCAGGTCTGAAGTATCTCATTTTGCTAAATTTAATCATAAATTTCCACAGTACAGAAATTCAGAAGAGATTATTACTGTAATTTTAAATTATGATAAACTTATTATTAATAATGATACTGTATTTATCACTACAGATATGTCTAATATTAGAAAATACTGTGATAGTATTTATAAATCTATTACCAATATTCCTAAAGGTTCATTTGTATCTTTTATTTTTCATGGTGTACTTGGTAGATCTATAACAGTAAGTTTAGTAGATATGTTTATTAATCAAATAGGATGTAAAGGTTTACTTATACAGCCCTATTCTTTAAATATGTGTATAGGATTAGGAATACAACATTGTATTCTTGTTGATGAATACTCCACACATACAAATGTGTATATTGTAGATGACTATGTACTACATGACTGTTTTACTGTTAAAAAAAGTATAAATTATAGTGTTAGTGTGTGTTTACCTGATGATCAAGATTATGTAGAAGATTATCAGAAGCTTAGAATGATAGAAGATATTCCTTATTACGGATGTAAGATATGTGATTATAAATCTAAAGTGCTGTTTAAAGTACAAGAACATTTAAAAATAAATCACTTTTTTAGTGAGAATGATAAAAATATGATATTTAAATATGAAAATAATCATGAAGATTGTATTCAAGAGATTGTAAAAAGACTTAGATTTTTATACTTTAATTTAGAAAGACTTAAAAGAATGAATATAAGAGTAGTACATAATAATTATAATAATATTAATGATTTATGTGAACAGTTAAAATTTTTATACAATAATGTGATACCAATACAAGCAGATGATAGTGTAATTTTTAAAGGGAATGAATTATTTAATACACTTGAACTTAGTAAAGAGTGTTGGATAACCGATAAAGAATGGAATGCAGGAAAATTAAGAGTTTTAAAAGATAAGATTTTATTTAACTTGTAAGCAGTGAAATATAAATTTTATATTATATTGATATAAGTAATTTATAATATATCTATATAATATTTTATATTATATTGATATAAATATTTTATAATGCGTTAATACGTATTTATAATAACATTTTATAATACAATTATTTATAATATATTTATAACAATATATTTATAACAATTATTTATAATATATCTATAACAATATTTTTATATACTTGCTTTATAAAATATTCATATCAATCCTCTCTCTTAAATCATCCACCTCCCTCTTTAATATCTCACTTCTAATCTCTCTATATTCCAATAAATAATTAAAATTTTCTTCATCTATTTCTAAAAAGGGTAGAGTACTAACATACTCCATAATATTATTATATTTATATTTAATATCTCTAATATTCTTAGATGCTTGTATCATGTCATTCTCATATTCTAATATTTTATCTAAATTATTACATTTATTTTTTAATGCACATATCTTCTTATTTAAATTATTTATTTTACAAAGTAATAAGTCTTTCTTATTTACATTATTATAGTACTTATTAATATCTAGTGGTGTATCAATAACAAGATCTGTCTTCTTTCTTTCATATTTAAATGTAGAAGGAAACTTAATAATATTTCTTAATACAAAACTTTTAAATATAAACATATTCTTTTTACAAGAATCTAATAGAATCTTATTGTTATTTAAAAGACTTGAGATAAGATTGGTGATATCCGATTCTAACTCATTTACAAAATGTATAGGAACAAAATTAAAGAATTCTATTTCTCCTTTGTCATCCATTTAAGGGTAAAAATACTGTATTTTAATAATGTAAATATTTCTATGACAAAGATGTAAAAATATAAGTTATATTTCTTTTTAAAATGTGATCTATTTACAATAAGATGATTTGTAAATCCTTTCTTATTTTACATTTCTATAATATTAAGAATATTTTTATAACAAGTAGATCTTAAGAATATTTTTATAACAAGTACATCTTAAGAATATCTTTATAACAAGAGATCTTAAGAATATCTTTATAATACGTACATCTACCATATTATAAGAATATCTTTATAAAAATATTTTCTTCTTTTCTCTTTTTTCTGATTCACTTTGCAATAAAATTTCTGGATCAAAATCATTAGGCACTAAAAATGACATAATTATGTTGATGTATAAAATATAATTTATCATAAATTGGCGTAATAAGATCCATCTTATTACTTATAAAACTACCAATAAAAAATGTAATAATTCTATTTAGTCTTTTAAATATTTTAGTAATTTTTTAATATCTAGAATTATGTATGCATAATTATTTTTCTTATTTTTTTATCCCTCAATGAAAAACTCAAATACACAGAAAAATAATCCAATTATTTTACAGAAAAATACTACAGGTACATTTTTTAGCTCATTTATGAAATTAGATTTTATAAAGAAGGTGTGGGCATTCTCCACATTCCTCTTTATTTTTAATTATTCTCTCTACATATTTTTATTTTTCGTAAGATTTCCTATTAGTCCCTTACCTAATTACATTAACATTTTATCTCTTGTAGTATCACATTCAGTAGGTCTTTTTAGATATAAAAATGTTACAAGAACACTACAGGAATCTAATTTATTTTGTATTGGGTTCTTTTTAACATTCCCTTCTACTTTCCTTCTTCTTCCATTTTATTTACTAGGAATTTATAACTTTATGGGATTTATGCTAAGTAACAAAAAAATATTTAATTTTGGTACTTGTATGTCAATAAGTTCTTTTCATGTTGTTGTAGGAAGGACTGCTCTTATGTCTGAAGTTATTTTCTTTATAATAATATTTATTTTATTTATATTTAGATTTACTTCTATATGGACATTATTAAGTTATGGAATAATGATTAGACAGCAGTATATTAATAATCCAAATATGAAGAGTGTAGTTAAAGAGATGCAAGTTAAATGTGACACATTTAGTAAATATTTACCAGAGAATCTTTATAAGTATTATAATGAGTGTATTAGAATTAATAAAGGTAATTAATTATATTTATCTTATTTTTGTTAAAGAGAAGCTCTATAAATTAAATTTATTAAAGAGAAGTAATAAAACTTTTTATTTTGTAAAACCTATTTTTCTCTTTGTTTGTCAAAGAGAAGTTGTAAAACTTATTTATCTCTTCTTTTGTTAAAGAGAAGCTCTATGAATTTAATTTTGAAATTTTTATAAATAAAGAATAATATCACATTTTAAATATTTTTTAAAAATATTCCTTTTTAAAAATATTTCTTTTTTAAAAATACTTCTTTTTTAGAAATATTTCTTTTTTTAAAAATATTTTTTCTAGAATTTTTTTTACTATAAATATAAATTTTTTATGACCCCCCATAAATGTCAGTAGTTGAGAAGAAACAACTTAACGTATGTTTTATTGGACACGTAGACTCTGGAAAGAGTACTGCTGTAGGACAACTTGCTTATCAACTTGGTGCTATTGATAAAAGGCTTATTGAGAAGTATAAGAAAGAAGCATCTGATAATAACAAATCTTCTTTCTTTTTGGCTTATGCTACTGATACCACTGCTGCTGAAAAAGAGAGAGGTATTACCATTCAGACTTCTCTTATAAAAATACCCACTAATAAATTTACACTTAATGTACTTGATTGTCCTGGACATAGAGATTTTATTAAGAATATGGTGACTGGTGCAGCACAGGCTGATGTGGGTGTAGTTATGGTACCTGCCACTGGTTTTGAAGCTTGTGTAGGAGAAACTGGTATTTTAAAGGCTCATATTACTATTTCTGCTGTATTAGGATGTTCTAAGTTAATTGTTTGTGTTAACAAAATGGATGAAGTGGAAGAAGCAAGAAGAGAAAGTAGATTTGCAGAAATTAAAAATGAAATGTTAAGAATAGCTAAATTATATCACAGTGATAAAAATCCTATTATTATTCCTATTTCTGCATTCTGTAATATTAACTTAGTAGAATCTAGTCCTAGATTTGAATGGTTCCAAGGATGGACTTGTCCTAAGACTAAGGCTGTAGTTCACACCCTTGAAGGTGCTCTTGACTTCCAAGAGGAGCCACCAAGAATGAATGACAAGCCATTAAGAATGCCAATAGTACAAAAACATAAGATTTCAGGAATAGGATTTGTGTACACTGGTCGTATTGATTCGGGATTTGCAGTACCAAATATGCAAGTTTCTATTGAACCAGCTGGTGTTGTTACTGAAATTAAAACATTGGAAATTCATAAGGAAGCAAGACAGAAAGTATATTGTGGAGAGAATTGTGGTGTAGCTTTTAAGAATGCTACTAAAGGAGATTTTAATCAAGTTAAACCAGGAAATGTTATTTCTGATGCTAAAAATAAACCAGTTAAACTTTTTAGAGGATGCATTGCTAAGATAGTCGTAGTTGATAAAAAGAAAGGTCTTGCTGCTGGATACACTCCTACACTCGATCTTGGAATTATGCATGTGCCAGTTAAAGTACAATTTATTTTAAAGAAGAAATCCCCTAAAGATACTGCACCGGTTGATAATCCAGAGAGAATTGAACAAGGAGATAATGCTATGGTAGTGTTAGTACCTCAGAAGCCTTGTGTTATGGAAACGGCATCAGATTTTCCTTCTCTTGGTAGATTTGCTTTAAGAGATTCTAATAATATTGTTTGTATTGGAAGTATCACTTCATTATGTTCTGATGATGAGTTAGAAAAATATGGTGTGAAGATCGAAAAGAAGGCAACTGAGACCAAAAAAGGTAAAAAATAAACTCTATTAGTTTTTATTTAGTTTTGTTTAAATTTATTGATTTAATTTTGTATATAAGTTATTAAGTTTGTATTAAAGTTATAAATTTTATTTTGTATAAAAGCTATTAAAATTTTAAGATATTTTTTTAAAGCTATTAAAATTTTAAGGTACTTTTGACTAGCCAGGCGATGTTGTTCTGTGCACTCACTTAAGGTGAGAGATGGTCTTTGGGTAGACCGAGAATCCTGTATCCTAAGGGTGTGTATAAGCAAGGCCGTAAAGGTATGCTAGCGTGTAAGTGCAATATTGATATTTTGTTTTTACAGTGGAGTTTTTGGTGGCTTTTCTTCTTTTGCTGTTTTTTATTTTTTAACAATAAACTTTTTATTTTATTTTTATTTTTTTTTACAGTGGAGTTTTTGGATGAAGGGTTATGGTAAAACAAACGAGAGCAAGCAGAGAAGTCTGCAAAGTGAGTACTTTGATACTCAAAACAACAATTTGGATT